TATGTATGTATGTATGTATGTATGTATGACAGATGTTTCTTCTCTCCAGCGATTACTGATGGTTTGGTCACGAGACATTTAGCCCGGTCGTACAGACACTTCACAATACCGGTGTGAATCATAAGCTAGGTACTGATCAGTATGTGTTGGTTTCCTGTAGACACTGGTGTTAAGGCGGCCATCAGGTTCTCTACAAACTGACGTGTCGAGAAAGGCGATCTTACTGTTATTCTCGATCTCCATGGTGAAACGGATTGATGGTTGTTGACTGTTAAGGTGTTGCAGGAAGTCGTCAACTCTATCCTGATCCAGGATGATGAAAGTACCATCTACGTAGCGTTTCCAGATCTTAGGCTTGCAAGGTACAGACTCTATTGCTTGTTCTTCAAATATCTCCATGTAGAGATTAGCAATAACCACTGATACAGGGCTCCCTATGGCTGCGCCGTCTTGTTGTTTGTAAATCAATCCGTTGCACTGGAAGTACGTAGATCTTAATACGAAATCCAAGAGGTCCGCAATTTGAACTGGTGTAAGTGTCATGCGGTCAGCCAGGCTGCGTCGTTCTCCATTTTTTGTAGCACGGCTTGCACAGTGTCCTTGATCAGTACATTGGTAAACAATTACTCTACGTCGAAAGACACCATGATCTTGTGGTCCTGGATCTCTTCACTGGCGATGGTGGAGGTGAAGTCAGTTGAGTTTTTCACTGTGAAGTTCGAGTTATCTGCAAGAGGAGATAATATGTTAGCCAAGAAACCAGACAGGTCATATACAAAGGTATTGACACACGACACAATTGGCCTAAGCGGTGCGTCGGCCTTGTGGATCTTCGGCAAACCATAGATCCTAGGTGGTTGTTTGTGTCGGGGTCTGATCTCATTATAAACCATCTCTGATATGTGTCCATTCTGTTTCAGAGTTAGCAGCTTCTCAGATAGCTTCTGGGTCAAGCGGTCTGTCGGATCTTTGTTGAGCAGCTGGTATGGTCCAGAATCAATTAGCGCTGACATTTTTGCCTGGTATGTGTCAGTGTCCAGGATTACGCTGGCGTGACCTTTATCAGCCAGAAGGGCCATGATGGAGTTGTCCTCTTTTAGGCTTTTAAGAGCCTCCTGCTGTTCCTTCGTGATGTTGGGCATGGTTGGTTGTGCCTGTTGAAGGATGGTGTTGACAGATCTTCTGACTGTGTTCACTGTGCATCCAGTAGCCTGACTGCTGACTCAACCTTGGCAATGATCTCGGTGGCTGGGACACTCGTAGGAGTCACGGCGAAATTTAGACCTTTCTTCAGTAAGGACATCTCAGCTTCGTTAAGGGCCCTGGATGACAGGTTGTTAACGGACTTTGTTTTGTCAGCAAAAGTTGTAGGAGAAGCAGAAGACTGTTTCTCTCGCAAAAGTTTCTCAAACTTGTGCTATTGATGGTCTTTGGTGGTACTAAAGACTTGCTGGATAGTGGATTTAACCTTGTCAAGTACCTCTGCAGCGTCATCTGCAGAAAGCGCAGATGTTATGCTCTGTGCTGTTGATTCGGCTTCTTTCTTCGTATCTCCCTTGGCTCTCTGCGTCAGTCTGATTCTTTCCCTCAGGAACCTCATGGATGCTAGTTCAGGGACTCTGTGTGTGCCTCTGGTGGGAACTGGCAGCCGAACTTGCAGATCTCTTGGAACAATGTGAGTGC